AAGATGGCGGCCACCAGAGCGATATATGCGATGTTTTGAAATTATTTTTTTAGGAACACGGATGCTCTATCCCCTCTAAAAATTGAATTTTTGTGTTTCTCATTTGATGTACTTTCTCTTAAGAATGGGTCATTTTGGGGGGTAAGTTGCCCTTTAACCAATTCGTATGGAAGGTCTCTGAACGTTTGATAGTTCATATCTTTAAGGAAGCGCCCCCAGAGAATCTGGTCACAATCTTTCGCCCGGATAAATCTTGCCAGTATGGGTCTTGCCTTATTTCCTACGCTTCTTCCATTTCGATGAACTCTCTGCCGGGATTTCTAGCGTGTCTGCGTCGGAGTAAAATAACTCCGTCTTCAAAAAAGATCTTACTACTTTTTCAGTATCTTCAACTTCATCTATCTCTCCGTAGATATTCAAAAAAATTATGTTCTCTCTTCTTGAGTATGCCTCAAGGTATAGATCTTTTGTCTTTAAATCATCAATTATATTTTCGTATTCCTATACTTTCTCTTTTATTTCATCAGCTTTGTCCACTTGGTTTTGACAGACTTTTATCTTGTTAACTGACTCGTCAACCTTGTCACCTAAAAATGATAATCCATGTTTTAGGTCTTGGATGTCTTTATTCGCTAAGGTCTTATAAGTCCCCAGCTCATTGGTTGTAGGGTTGCAGTAGGGTTCTTAGTAATAGGATCACTAAAATACTTCCAATCTTGATCCTTGAAGTATGTCTCACTGCTAATCGAGTAAAATGGGCTGTAAGGCTCATGATAGTTGAAGGAGAATCAACCTGGAATATTATTCTATCAACATATATCAAACCCATAGGGGGTTTTCATCAAGTAAATATTGATTTTGATAATCAACGAATTCCAGAAAACTTGTCCCCCTTTTACAAAGATATTTTAAGATGTTGGTCGAAAGTAGCGAAGGACAATATTAAAAATGACCCTTCCTTAGTTGTTGATCAATATTTGTGGAATAACAAGTTTATCAAAATTGGGAACGCCTCAGTGTTCTATAAACTTTTTGCTGATCTAAACATAAACAAGGTAATCGATCTATGCATAGTTAATAGAGGGGAATAGAGGTTCCCCTCTATTAACTATGATCTAGCTATCCATAGCTAGTCATCTTTGGAACAATTTACCATCTAATGCGAGAAATGCTGTTAACGTAAATAGCTTTAAGAATATCATACGTAAATTAGACTTCATACCTTTTATATATCGTTAGATAAATTTTTATTTATCATATATTGGATNTTTAAAAGTGACAATTCTTGAAGAAACCTGTTCATATTCATAATCTATTGACATTAAGGAACGCAATGTCTAAACAATGACACCCGGATTTTACTTCAGATAATTGACACCAAAAATGCTCTTTTCTCCCATCATGGCCTTCTTGAAAAAGTTGATAATAAAGTGTCTATAGTGATATTTTGTATAAAATTCACAAGGGAGACTAAGGGAGGAAAGAAAAGAAAGAAAGAAAAGCAGAATAATAAAAAGACCAAAAGAGTCATAGTTCTAAAGTAATATTTATGTTTTTTGAGCTACTAAGTGTGCATGTGCTATATAAATAAGAAATATCCTAGTATCTTTGAAGCGATACAAGCGAGTTAAGAAAATCGCTAAATTCACTCGCAATCATGTTGGAGACATGCATCTTATAAGCCGTTATAAGATAAGATAAGATAATTTATTTAACGTCAATAATACAGGGAGTAAATATATCCCAAAGTGTGGTAGAGTAACAGCTTATTAGCTTCTAGTTTTGAAAACGTTTTCTCAAGCTTCCTTTGGTCATAGTTAATTGATTCCCCTCAATTAAGGTGGCTCGACCCCCTCACGCTTGACCGCTACCTTCCACTTTTGGAACGCTAGTGCATAAACGTCTTTTATCCTATTGCAAATCTTTTTTGCACATAATGTCTGATATAATGAAAACGATAATATATTTGATATTCTTTTATGATTTACTGATGATGTAAACGCTATTCCAACATAAGAAAAACCTACTGTTTGTTAAGTCTAGAATCTTCTTCTTGAAAAACAGATAAAATAAAAATAAAGAGCAAGCTTGCATATTCAAGTTTAGCCAAATATTATTCCACGTTCCGCTTTACCTAGCAACTAATCAGTTTTCTGTCATTACGGTCAAAAAAAAAAGTGACAATTCTTGAAGAAACCTGTTCATATTCATAATCTATTGACATTAAGGAACGCAAGGTCACAAACAATGATACCCGGATTTTACTTCAGATAATTGGCACCAAAAATGCTCCCTTCTCCCATCATGGCCTTCTTGAAAANAATAGATTAGTGCACGTGCGCATTTTAAACGAGTATGTGAAATGCTCCTAGGCGTTATGTGGATAAATAAACTATTATTATTATTATTATTATGTAATGATAATAATGAATCAGTTCCAATGGCATCATGTTAAAAATCTGGGACTTCAGGCCATAAAGATTTCATGCGGTGGGCTGGATTAGTACACGCAATTCCGAAGGAATGAAAAAAACGCGCTGAAAGAAATAGAGGATATTACATGGGCGCGCGGAGATAAGAATTTTATCTTCAAGTGTTGAAAAGATCTCTCACGAGTGAGCGTAGCGAACGAGTGAGAGATTTTCAACACGAGAAGATAAAATTCCTATCTCCAAAGCGGCCATGTAATATTCTGTTTATTATATAATTATCAATGAAGTATGTTTTGGCTTTTTCAGGCAATTCTTTCCGTGTATTTTTGAATAGCCATCGCAATGGTGTTATTTTCACGCGTGAATATATCAATTTTTCGAAATAGAGAAAAATAGATATTTCATTGGTGATCATATAATAAAGGAATATAATACATACGAATGGACAATCAACGAGGTTTTTGATGTTAGACAAAAAAGATAAGTTGGAAAAGGTAGAAACAAACCAAATTTATCAGTGGCTTATCGCTCAAAGATTTAAAACTCCGTCATCTCAAACAAATAGGAGTAAGCGTATAAATCAGGACTTTAATTAAAAACATTCAACTCGATTGGAAAGAGAATCTATAAAACTTTAATTGACACTTACACTAGAGCTTTTCAATATAAAATACTTAAAATATTTTGTACTTAAACCGCGGCCTCTGTCGTTTTGAAATAATTAATTACTCTACTTGATCTTTTTGTCTTCTTCACCCCGAAACAATTGACCATCTTTTTGTTGGATGCATAGAGTCCAAAAATTATTATTTTGAAATAAGGAGTTGGTTAGAAAAATATGACATTTATGTTCCTGTCTGCAATCGTTTCAATATTATTCTTGGTGTTGATGATTGTAT